GTTGGCAAACCAATCTTTTTATTTTTATATATTTTATGTTTTCTTTATTAAAGTCTTTATGATCTAAAGCAATCATAATGGTTCCGTTCATTTTAATAATTAAGCATCCCACATATACTATATAATTATAAAATGTAAAAGCTTATTCTTATCATCTAATGTAAAGGAAATTTAATGCTATTATCTTTTTTAATTGAAATTCTATTTCTATAATATCAACTTTAATTATATTTTAGTATAAACATTGTGAATAGATATCAGTTTAATAATGATGCTATTTTATATGGCTAACTTTTAAATACGCCATTTTTATAATTTTTATTTTCTTGTCAGTTGAATAGAAGGACTAAGAGAAGAAATGCGAACCATAAAACATATATATTTATAAAGAATGAAAAAGATAGCTCAGTAATTATGATGGAAATATGAAAGACGATTATAATATGTATGATTTAGCTTAAATTATCTATTTATAAAGATAATTATGATTATGTTCAAACGAATTTAAATATGATTTTAACCTATCAATAATTCAAATTTGATTTTCTCCATAACATTTGTATTTTATGGACAATATTCTAAGTCAAAGGAATGTGATATTTATCCATCTAATTCTTGAGGTTCTTTTGAGTGTAAATTAGGAATTTTGCCATGATTTAATTATTAAATAATTCCTCATATGCATTATCAATCTTAGCTTCTTTCTAAATTATATTCTTAGATTCTAATCTAACAAATAATTATAACAGATAATAATTCTATTACACTTTTTGGAACAGATTTGGTTATACATCCTATTTAAATAATTTATTATTTATATTTTAATATATTTCCAATTTTCTATGATAAATAATATAGATTATCATACTTCAATTCTATATTGTATATCTTATATTTTCATATCTATTAGGCAATTTAGTGAGAATACATCATATTACTTTCATCTTTTTTCTTTTTTACCAATATTATTAAATAGAAATTAATAATAAATTTATTATTATATTCTATTATAATAATTCAACTTTCTAAATAAAATTTTATTCATGATCTTTTTCAAAAAGAACTCTGATTGATTTTTTGGTTTAAATATTTTGAATACAATATAAATTATTAGAGTCATAAGAGTTGGGAAGAATATAGTAATAATAATTGTTGCCAATAAATTATAAATAAAATCCTGAAACTATATTAATTAAATTATCTTAATTAATTAAGCATTAAATTATTATGGATAAAAGTTTAAGTATTGTATTGAAGATTAATAGTTTTAATGTATATGCATAAATGCTCTGCAAGAAAAATCATTTGGAATATTAATGTAATTAGGATGCTAATTCATCTACTTATTCAAATAAATCTTGTGTTAGTTTCACATAAGAGAATTGCAAAATAATTACGAGAAAATGCATCCACAAGTGAATATGAAATAAAAATGCTAGGAACTGTGGGGCAGACATTTTACTGTTATGATTAGATAAAGTTTGAGCTGGATGGTAAGACTATTGCTAGTTCTGAGGAGAATTTAAGATGGAGAGATAGAATATAAGATACCAT